ATAAATAAATATCTAAGAATGGAGTAGCTGGCTCATAGAGTAAGTAATTGTTTCATTTTATAACTAACTGCCAGACCTTTTCCCAAAGCTATTTGGCAGTTGTGCTATTCCATACTCCCAGCAAGAATGTAAGAAGCTAGTTCCTCCACATCCCTGCCAACTTTCTGGTGAGTGTGTAGTGGTCAAATGTTGCCGTTTTAATTTGCATTTCTCTGACAGTTAATAACCTTACACACCTGCTCATGTGTTTATTGGCCTTTCGTGTATCTTTTTCAAAGTAGCTATTCAAGTCATTTACTCATTTTTGTTGTTTGACTTTATTTTTGAGTTGTACAAATGCTTAATACACCCTAGATACCAGTCCTTTGTCAGATATGTTTTGTAAATATATTCCCTCTGGTGGCTTACCTGTTTTTCTGATGCCGCTTATGAGTAGAAGTTTTTAATTTTGGTGAAGCCTCATTTATCCATTTTCTTCTTTTGTGGTTCTTGCTGTGTCCTGAGAACCCTCTGCTACCTGGAAGTCATGAAGATAACTCTGACGTTTAGTTGTTAAATTGTTAGGATTTTAGCTTTTACATTCAGCCCCATGATCCATCTTGAACTGATTTTTGTTTTACTGGAATTAAAGATGCAAAACAGAAAACTCTCATAGCAATCCTGTTTTGATTTGATAGTTTTTAAATGTAACTTTGCAGTCAAAGTTTGATTTAAAATAAACTGTGGTTAAGTGACTCCTTGGACTGAAGCAGGCTTACTGATGATCACAGTGCGGGGTCTGACAAGGTGAGAGCGGAGCCAGCCATTACTTACTATGGCCAGGGTCAGTCACGGCTTTCCAGGAGATGTACAGTTCAATTCTCGGTTACTGAGAGTTTGAAAAAATAGCTACTTAGCTGTTTTAAAGATGTAGGTTAGTTCTTAAATTTTGAGTTTAGTAATGGATCTGGATATAGTTATTTTACATTTGTCATTCTTCAAAATGGTATAACTGGTGAGGTCACTGGAGGGCAGTAACTGGGAGGAACCCTCTGTGAGGAGCAGATCAACAACTTCCAGCTGGTTTGCAGAAAGTTCTGCTTTGATTCCCAGATGGTTGCCTTATGAGACAAGCCAGTGTTTGGAGGAAAGTTCTCTGATTACAACTCTTTAAAGATAAATGATCTAACTTCATTCCTTAACACTGTAAGAAGGAATTAATTTTTAAAAGAGAAAAAATGTGAAGTACTTTGAAAGAAAAAATATAGTAAGAATATATGATTCATTTTAAAAATTAAAATTTGGCATATCCTTCTACTGACTTTATTTTTTAAAAAATCTTCCATAATGCTCAGTAAGTGTGAATTCATTTGTGCCCATGGTGCTAGGACATGAGTTAGCCAGAATGTTACACTTGGGCCCCAAAATGTGATCTATATATTGAAAATATCAGTTTTCTTAGTAACTGGGTAACAAAGAAGAATCATGAATTAAAAGGTGTAACCCAAGAATGTTTAAAAGGCGCAGTTTGAGCTTATTTATGCCCATAGAACATATTCATGGACATTTGCTTATGACAAAGACAATTGTGTTTTTCCAAAGACTTTCTTGCGGTTGGTGATTCTAGGATGTAGCCTATAATGAATTGATCTTTAGTGCAAAAGAATTCACGGCAGGCATGGCTTCTCTGACCGCATCTGCTTCTTTTGATATTATTGGTAACCTTTCGCCTACTTTACAAAAAAAAAAGGAGAGGCAAAACCCAGGAGGCAGATAGTTATAATCCAGATGGTTAGAGGAGAAAATACTTGATTCAAAACCACACACAAATATTGAGCCATCATTGAAGTTCTTGTTGGAAACGTGTCTCTGAGCTCTGCTATCCTCTGTCTTGGAAAGAACCTGTTAGAGCGCTGACCTTTGCTACCTACCAGTGCTCCATTGTGTTGTTCTCCTGAAGAGCATAAACTTGTCACCCAAAAAGCTGGATTGTGGCTGGAGTTACTTTGTTTGGATATGTTCCTTTGTTCTGAAAGGCTGTAAGTCCATCTAAAAAGGATCTCTCAGACATGTTTACCTTATAACCCCAGCTTAGGGCTGGGCACAGAGGCAATGCAGGACAAATATTTCTTGACTCGAAATGAAAATGTTGCTTTATAGCCACGAAACTGCAAAATGCAGGAAGGGCCTATGAGAAAACTGATGTTAACAGTAAAGAGAAGGATTTTTCATGCTTACCAGGCATCCTCTGCAGTCCAGGCTAGAATGTGGAGTATGTCGAAAAGGTCAATCATCCCCCTTGCCTGACCTTTTCTTAAATTCTGGTCCATATGCCCAGAAGGATCAGTGGTACTCTCAGGCTGTCTGCCACCTGTTTACATTTTGTTACTGCTTCTTTGCCTTTGATTTTGGCTGCTATCTCTCCAGAAGTGTAGGCATGGGTAGGGTGGAAAAAGATATGGAATCGATTCAAAACTCTTCTTTTGCAGGCTATACTTACTCTTTAATAAAGCAGGAACTTTCGACTTGGAAAATAAGTTAAAAGCCACTTTTACATAAGCAGTAATTAAACTAAGAACACTCAGTTTGTTGTGGCAATATTCTTAAAGTCTTTCAGAACCTAATTTCTTCTTTAATGTAAGCGGAGATGCAGATTTTAGTTTCCCAACAGTTCCTCACCCCGGTTGAATAGAGAGATGGCTGCCTTCACCAAGATGCAGTTTATCAAATGGTCATCTAAGAAGTCTTTGGAGGCCTGCAGCAGTGCGGTAGCACCATGGCTTGCTCAGAAGGCTAGATCACAGTCCTCAGGTAGCTGTTTTACAGCAAATTATTTTCATGGTGATTTCTTTGCCCCAGTGGGGGCTCCCTTCTCAGGTTAGCAGTATGTCAGAAATACTTTAAAGATTAGCAGATGTTTGGGTTAATAAAAACCATACTTATCTTCTTTCAGGCTATTACACATCTTTACTGTGGTTTCTTTACAGGGGCTTTGAAAAAAGAAAACACTGCAGTATTTGGCAGAGTTTCATCATTTTAAATATTTCTTTATCATTATAGAATGCACAAAACATTGAATGTAAACACTTCTTAGTGAAAATAAGATTCACGGCTCTCGTCAGCCGGACATTTTGGACTCTCAGGATCGCACTTCCTTAGATTTGTAGCCTCACTGTCTCCTCCTCAGCCAATTCGTCCCTTGTTCATGTTCCTCTACCTGGAATGTCAGACACAGATATATTATCAAACAGAAGCAGTGTTGAGGACGTCGCACCTGGCCAAAGTTATAGCTCATTTGTTAATGGGAGGAATATTGTGGCAATCAAGCATGTTTGAGAGGGTATCACGAGTCGTCATAGAGGAAGGTTAAAACTTCACATTCACCAGACGCTCATGTTAAAACTGAGGCCAGTCTGTGCACGGTGGTTCCGATGCTCTTCAGAGTTTTGGGCTGTATCTGAATTTTACAGGAGTTTTTAAGTGTAACATACCTTTTGGTAAATGTAGAATATAGTATTGTATACAACTAGGACAGGCTCAGACAGGTTGAAACAAAGGTTGGAATGTACACTAATCACAGGTTGCATGCAGTTTTATGTACATTTTTGGAGCTCTCTGATGTTTGAGGCACTTAATAAGTCATATATAATATGCATGTTATGTCAAATACTGCAGTAGAGGAATAGAGGATTTGCATGTGATATAGACCAAAGGGTATCCAAGAAAGAGGACAGAACGAATGGCCATCAGGACAGAGGGAGCAGCAAGACCAGAGACACTGGGGCATGAACCTGCTTCCTGGATTTTCCAGAGAGGAATTGTTCCCTCTCCTGGTGCATAGCAACTGCAGGGAATGACAGGAGACGTGGCTGGAAAGCTGGGGCCAGATGGTAGAGACTCCTCCGATCCTTGCTAACAATGTGCTCCCTTGGCAAGCCATATAGATCCCTTGAAGGATTTTGAGCAGAGAAATTACAAGTTCATGCTAGAAGCAAGCAGCATGGAAGGTAGACTGCTGGCATGGAGTCTGGAGGAGGAGAGCAGCTCAGAGAATAGTGTACATTAGTGTTGAGAAAGTACAAATGGGAGGATAGAACTGGATTTAAATAGTTTTCAGAGACAAGAAAGTCAAATGAAATAGGACAGAGTCGAAAGTCAGTCTGTAGTCTCCACTGGGAGAAAAAGGGCTTGGGGAAGAATATATGGAGTTTGGTTTCAAATGAGCCAAAATTGAGGTACTGAAGAACATCCAGGTGGTAAAGCCTATATGAGATTGGACATTTTTCATGTGATTCTTAAGAGAAAAGCTGGCACTGAGACTAGAGATTGGGATATCATTTGAATAAAGCTGAGAAGTTTGTCTTTATATATAGAGTTCCTTAAGATTCTATCAGAATCCATGTCAAGGTACAATTTTTCTGATTAAAATAATTTTTTTTAAAACATTATAAGGCCAGGCGTTGTGGCTCTCTCCTGTAATCCCAGCACTCTGGAGGGCTGGGGTGGGTGAATCACGAGGTCAGGAGGTGGAGACCACCCTGACCAACATGGTGAAACCCCGTCTCTACTAAAAATACAAAGATTAGCCGGGCGTGGTGGCACGTGCCTGTAATCCCAGCTACTCAGGAGGCTGAGGCAGGAGAATCTCTTGAATCTGGGAGGCAGAGGTTGCAGTGAGCTGAGCGCCAGCCTGGGTGACAAAGTGAGACCCTGTCTCAAAAAAAAATTACAATGCAGAAGCTTATGTGTAATTATTTTATGTTTTATAGCCTTAATGTTACAAACTTGTCTTAAGTAAGTTTATTTTGTGTGGGTCACAACTTTTGCTCCAGAGCAACTCAGTTGTTTTACTTTGATTTTGTCTTAATACTGATGATTTTTTAAAAGAGTTCTTTAATATTAAGCATTTTCAGTGTGACTTTTAAAATTACTCTCCTTGAAAGTGACTGTGAAATTGCTCAGTAGGTTGAGTTTAATGTCAGGCTGTCCCAGCATAAGCTCGTTCTCACCTTGCTTTGCAGGCACATCTTCTTCTTGCACATCAAGGAGGCCCTCTTGGCAGGCCACCTCTTGTGCTCCCCGGAGCAGGCGGTGGAGCTCAGTGCCCTCCTGGCCCAGACCAAGTTTGGAGACTACAACCAGAACACTGCCAAGTATAACTACGAGGAGCTGTGTGCCAAGGAGCTCTCCTGTGCTGCCTTGAACAGGTGAGGCTGCCATCAGGGCTACTGCTTATATCCACAGAGCTATCAAATGCATAAGCATTTCCAGAAGAAGATAAGTCTGTGATACATACACTTAATTTGTGAGATTAAGACTAGGCCATTGCCCAATTTCACTGATAATTTTGAAAAAATTTGTTAGCCTTTTATTTGAAAAATATATAAACACAATATGAAATGCTATATAATAAGATTTTTTTTTTTTTGAAATGGAGTTTCACTCTTGTTACCCAGGCTGGAGTGTAATGGCGTGATCTCGGCTCACCGCAACCTCCGCCTCCTGGGTTCAGGCAATTCTCCTGCCTCAGCCTCCTGAGTAGCTGGGATTACAAGCACACACCACCATGCCCAGCTAATTTTTTGTATGTTTAGTAGTGATGGGGTTTCACCATGTTGACCAGGATGGTCTTGATCTCTTGACCTCGTGATCCACCCGCCTCAGCCTCCCAAAGTGCTGGGATTACAGGCTTGAGCCACTGCGCCCGGCCTTATAATGAGAATTTTTTAAACCTCTGCCTTTAAGTACAAATCTCCTGAAATAAAGTCTATTATGTGTATTGGTGTTTTCTTCATCCCAGCAAGAATTAAACCAGGAGATCTAACACAGGCATTTTAGTTATCTCTTCCTGCATAACAAGTTACCCCAAAACGTAGTGGCTTAAAACAACAAAAATTGTCTCACAGTTTTGTAGGTCAGGAATCTGGCCATGTCTTAGCTGGGTCCTCTGGCTCTTGAGACTCTAGTCAAGCTGCAGGTGGAACTCAGTCTCATCTGAAAGCTCGACTGAGGGTTGCCTCCATGCCTGCTTGACTTCTGCGGTTTGCTGGTCATCCTCCTTTCCTGGCCACAGGGGCTTAGGGCTCAACTTTTACTTATAAAGTATATGTGGACAAATGCATGAGACTTTCCAACATATAAATTTGACTTATGTATATTTTTAGAGACTTTCCATAATTCTTCCAATTCATCATGCATCCAGCATCCCCAAAGCATTTTTACCAAATATTTAATAGTTGAGATCTCAGTGCCTTAGACGTTCTTTACAGTAAGTTTGCTAAATAAATGAAAACATCAGACATGCCTAAGTTTTAAGTTGCTGTGATTCATCAGCATTAGTGTATTTCACTAGTGAAGACTACATAGGTTTATCTCTAAAGTTAATATCTGTATAATTAATTCTCTGTCCTTTTGGTGTCCTCCAGCATTGTTGCAAAACACAAGGAGTTGGAGGGGACCAGCCAGGCTTCAGCTGAATACCAAGTTTTGCAGATTGTGTCAGCAATGGAAAACTATGGCATAGAATGGCATTCTGTACGGGATAGCGAAGGGCAGAAACTGCTCATTGGGGTTGGACCTGAAGGAATCTCACTTTGTAAAGATGACTTTAGCCCAATTAATAGGTAAGCCAAGACTTACTTGGTTCTGACCTAGGCATGTGTATACTTCTGTGGCTCTCAACATAATAGAAAGTAGGAAGGGATTTACTCAACAGTCAGCTCTTAGGAATAACAGGTTTCATTTTGGTATGTACATTAATTTTATTTGGGCCTGAGTAACCATTTTGAATGGTATTAAGGCGTACAATGTGGCAGAGTTAACATTTTCCAAATAATAACCCATTCACTGCCATAAAAAACTTGTTTTCACCTCTAGATGTGCATGTGGGCACACGCAACACTTGTTCCCACACTTCCCTCCACATATGGCCAACTGCTTTCCACTGCACCTTTGTGACCAGGCAGCATGATGGTGATGGGATAGCCCTAGAGGAGGTGTCTTGATTTTTCTGCTGGGTCATGAGCAAACGGGGATCCCACAAAGGCACACACATGGTGAAGAGTCACTCCTTCTAGAGCTGCTTTCTTTTCTCTTCCCATCTCTTAGGATAGCTTATCCTGTGGTGCAGATGGCCACCCAGTCAGGAAAGAATGTATACTTGACGGTCACCAAGGAGTCTGGGAACAGCATCGTGCTCTTGTTTAAAATGATCAGCACCAGGGCAGCCAGCGGACTCTACCGAGCAATCACAGAGACACACGCGTTCTACAGGCAGGTATCCCATGTGCTTGGTCACCTCAGCACTGCAGTTCTAAGGTTTTTAGGTGACAGCCAAGTTTCTACGGTTCCTTGAATCATTGTGTCAATGAGTCTAGTACAGAATTTAAGACATTCTGAACATTTTGTTTCTGTAGTAGCAGTGGGGTCCTTATTAATGTAGTCTTGTTTTACCCACAGAAAGTGCATGTGTGTGAGCCACACACAGACATTCTCTGCTTACCTCCTACCGTATTTTCTTATGCCATTGGTCCAGAAACAAACTGTGTTAGGAGATTTCTATGCATATTTGATCAATACGACAACCCTAAGAGGTTAAGTGTTATTACCCTAAGAAAATGAGGGAACTGGGAGGATAAATATTTACTTGATCTAGAACTCAGGTTCAAAGCCAAGTTTGACCACACTAAAGGTAACCCTGAGTGGTTGGGCCTGCTCTGCTGCCCAGGAGAAGGATAGCGCAGGTCATCTTTTCATTCTGGCAGAGCTGCTACCCTGAGTTCTCACTGCATATGAAAGGATTTTTTAATAATTGATTCCCTCATTTCAGAGGGTACTTTAAAGCCAAGTTGTGATTGGACTCAGGTTTTTGGACAATAAAGCTAAGAAATTTAAGTTGTAGGTAACTTGAAACCTTTTTATATTAAAACAGATGCGCAAATTGTAGAATAGAATGGAAAATTTGTAGACATTTTTAACGTAAAAGCCAAGACTTCAAAGCAGGTGTCCTTTTTCTTCCATAAGCAACTTGACTCTGTAGCTTCTGTCCGAGGGAGGAGCTGCGCTCACTGCCCTCTGTATTTACGGCTGCTTTACCAAAGCCGTGATGTTAGGAGCTGTTGGAGAAACAGAGGTGTAGTCACTGAGATATTGACCATACCTAAAACTGGAAGGACTTACTTTCACACATGCAGACAAGAATATGGAACATCTGCTGACGTTTCTGTTCTTGACAGTAGCGGATTAGGGGGCTGCCGGGCTCTTCGGTGTTAGTAGATGTTCAATCTTGCCTTGCAGGTGTGACACAGTGACCAGTGCCGTCATGATGCAGTATAGTCGTGACTTGAAGGGCCACTTGGCATCTCTGTTTCTGAATGAAAACATTAACCTTGGCAAGAAGTATGTCTTTGATATTAAAAGAACATCAAAGGAGGTGTATGACCATGCCAGGAGGGCTCTGTACAATGCTGGTGTCATGGACCTCGTTTCAAGAAGCAACCAGAGCCCTTCAAACTCGCCTCTCAAGTCCTCGGAAAGCAGCATGAACTGCAGCAGCTGTGAGGGCCTCAGCTGCCAGCAGACCCGGGCGCTGCAGGAGAAACTGCGCAAGCTGAAGGAAGCCATGCTGTGCATGGTGTGCTGCGAGGAGGAGATCAACTCTACCTTCTGTCCCTGCGGCCACACTGTGTGCTGTGAGAGCTGCGCCACCCAGCTGCAGGTACGGGAGTCAGCTGCCCACTTTACTTTTGCCTGCAGCCTCACCTTCCCTCCTCTTAATGGCGAGTAGGTGCCAGGTACTGGCTCCCTAATGCACAGACAGGGAATGCCCATCTTCACCCGGAAAGGGTCTTTGTATTTGGTGACTTAAAAGATACTACCTTTTGGAAACATTTTAGATTCGTGTACTATTTTCAGCAACATAATTACTCCAGATTACATCATTTTTTTTTTTCAAGTTCTGGAAATGAGGCTCAGATTCCTGAGTAACATATCCAGTTAGCAGCCAACCCGAGGACTAGAATACAGGCCTCTTGAGCCCTGGTCCATGCCTGCTTCCTCCATTTCAAATTACCTCCCATTTTCTCACACTTAGGAGGATGGTCTTTATTACTTAAGACGTTTGGGAAAGAATACTTCTCAGTTATCCATAGATGGGTTGCTGACTCTGGTCTTGCTGATCAATCTCCTTTATGACTGCATATGCCTCAGGAGCATATGGGTTGACTATTATTTAATAGCAAGTCAAACTAATTTTAATATTAACAACAAAGAAAAGGGAACTCACATAGGGTTTTCTCCTTTCTTGCATGAAGAGGAATTTTTAATTTCCTCATATACTAGTTTTTTCAATTTGTTTTTATTTCTCAGAAGGGTTTGCTAAATGCCACTATGGTTTTATGTACAACTGGTCCTAAGTAATACTTAGTCTTTCAGAAGCTGTTAATTTCAGAGCTAGTGAAACCAAACACCGCCTGAGACAGTCACGGGCTTCTCTTTTTCTGCCCACCTATTCCGACTCTCATCCCTAAGTCTTTCCTGAGGGCTGATGATGAGTCCGGACTTGCTGAGAAGCCAGCCAGGAATGTGGAGCTGCCCTATAGCTAGGAGCAGAGCCACCCTCCCTGGTCATGCGGTCATCAGCCCAGAAATGTTGGCCTGAGTCAATTAGCTGAGCTAAGGACACACAATTTCAAGAAGGGTCTCCCGCATGGCTGCCTGAAGGGTTATAATCTACTCACATAGAGACCACATTCTGCACAGAAAGACATCTTCAGTAATTGCTTTACTCAGTGTGACTTATTTAGGGTTCGACTAAAAGTGATTGATTTCCTTCAGTTTATACAATTTCATAATATTTATTTTTAAGCCCTTGTAAAGTATAAACTTTCAAACTTGTGAGACAGCAAATATCTCTACCAACTGAAAGCCAGAAATCACTGTGATCACAATTTATTTAGAACATGAAATGCACTAGAGACCCGGGTGTGCACAGAGACACAGGCCCCCCGCCCAGGCGTTCATGCTAACAGAGACTGTTGGCTTTTCTTTTCCAGTCATGTCCTGTCTGCAGGTCGCGTGTGGAGCACGTTCAGCACGTCTATCTGCCAACCCACACCAGTCTTCTCAATCTGACTGTAATCTAAGCTGTTGTGCTTTTATTGGACTTGCCATGTTTCCATGAACTGCACTACTATAAATTATAAAAATGATAGATTGTGGAGAAAGTAATCACTCCAGCACCCATCTGCCACACGATGTTTAAAAAAAAAAGGAAGAAAAATAACACAGCTACTCCTCACTGCAAAAACATATCCATGTGTAGAATCAACAGCTCCAGTGGTGGGGACCAGGAGGAGCTCTGGGACGTGGACACGTTCCTTGGATGTTGATTTTTTTATGATCAAGTAAAGGAATAGGTAAAGTCTTCAATGTCAGTGAAGTGGCAACATAGCCAAAAAAAGTTGGGTACCTTTTAGGAAATGATGTTGTAAGTCTCCTTAATGTATCCCGAGGTAGTTTCCTATCGGCAGCAGATTTTGTAAGAATTAGATTTTGTATGGTCGTGGAGCTCCAAACATTTTTAATAGGAAAATTTTTCTTAAATCGTTGTTGTTTTAATGTCATTCTGTCTTTATAATTTGATCAAGAATGATTGAAATGCAAAAAGATTTAAAAATCAGTTCTCGGAGGCTGAGGCAGGAGAATCACTTGAACCCGGGAGGCAGAGGTTGCAGTGAGCCGAGATCTCGCCATTGCACTCCAGCCTGGGAGAAAGGGCCAGACTCCATCTCAAAAAAAAAAAAAAAAAAAAAAATCAATTCTGTGACTTTTAAAAAGTTGACAGTGTTGTTATATTTAAACCAGTCTGGCTGGCAAAAAGCAGCTCACTCAATACGGTCGCTCCCTATTCCTTTTCACTCCCCTATCCCAACCCCCTCTCCCAAGACTTTCGATTATAAAATGCTACCAATTTGGTTATGAGATTACCGTGGAGTAGTCAGGTACTCCCTGGGCCTTCTGAGCTGGTGGAATATTTGATTTCAGACTGAAAACGAAGAGCAGTCTCCTTGGGAAGAGAAAGCCGAGCTTGCTGAGTGAGAGACGGAGCCTCATGGTGTACAACTGACGGTGGTTAACTCATCAATTCTCCCAAGCACTCCATCCCAGCTTCACCCACTGGTGTCCCTTCACTGGAACTGTCAAGCCTTTTATAGCCTTACCAGAAGTATTTAGATATTGTGTCCTTTTCTGTGTTTCTTGGGTTTTGTTGTGTTTTTTTAAGTAACTGCTTAAGTACTAACTTTGGGCTGTCCCCTCTGTATGTTTTGGAGGGGCTTTGGTTCTTTTTGCTTCCGTATTCTTAAACATGTTTTCCACTCCCACTTGGGCATTTTGGAAGCTGGTCAGCTAGCAGGTTTTCTGGGATGTCGGGAGACCTAGATGACCTTATCAGGTGCAATACTAGCTAAGGTAAAGCTAGAAACCTACACTGTCACTTTACTGAGATTTCCGAGTATACTTTTCATATTGCCTTAATGTAGCAGTAATGTGTTTATGCATTTGTTTCTTTGCACAGACATTTTGTCAAATATTAAAACTCTACTTTTTTATGGCACATATTAGCATATAAGCCTTTATTCCAAGAGGTATTTATTTTTTCACTTGTAAAAAAAAATGTTTCCACGTAAAGAACTCTGTTATATCCTAGAGGACTCTGTCTTTTATATTCAGGATAATAAAGACTTTAACCCAAACATGGATGTGTGTATTGTCATTTAATTCATTAAGCCAATTTTATTTCATTTCAAAGAAATAAGCAAGGGGTAACGTCACAGTTGGTATCTAATTTGCTCCTACCTGGAATTTTTTTTTTTTTTTTTTTTTGAGACGGAGTTTCGCTCTTGTTACCCAGGCTGGAGTGCAATGGCACGATCTTGGCTCACTGCAACCTCCGCCTCCTGGGTTCAGGCAATTCTCCTGCCTCAGCCTCCTGAGTAGCTGGGATTACAGGCATGCACCACCGTGCCCAGCTAATTTTTTGTATTTTTAGTAGAGATGGTGTTTCACCATATTGACCAGGATGGTCTCGATCTGTTGACCTCGTGATCCACCCGCCTCGGCCTCCCAAAGTGCTGGGATTACAGGCTTGAGCCACCGCGCCCGGCCCCCCCCCTTTTTTTTTTTTAAATAATTTCAGTGCTCTACAAATTCAGAGAAACTTCTCTAGTAGCAAACTATACAAATAATCCTTGAAAATATTGTCTTTTTTTTTTTTTTTTTAAGAAAATTTGAAAACATTTAGGGTATTGGTTCTAATTGAGATTACTTCACCTAGTCTCTTATCTATGTTTGGGGGTGGTAGGATTGGAATATAGGGGAAGTGGGGTCACATGCATAAGCAGATGAAAAAAAATTAGGAAAAATACTTGAAGCTATTGGTGAAGGAAGGGAGTGGCAAAGTTGGAAGTTAACAATTTAAAAACCCAGCTGATGCTGCTGTTGTGTGGCCTGGTCAGGATGGGGAAGGGGCCTAGGTCCCAGCAGTAAGGGTCTCAGGCTGTTGAAGCTTGGACTGTATTCCTGCAGGACCACTGGTCTGCTGCTGGACCCTAACTGCTCTGTGCTTGCCAGCGCATGCTCATCTGTGTTGCTCAGGAAATACATTTTGGAATAGCGAATATTGTACATAATATATATAAGTAATCATCTGTAGCAATTAGAGGAAGGTGTAAATTTATATTTTAATTAGAGGCAAGGGGATTTGTTTTTACTGTACCTATAACCTAAGTCAATCTTCCATCAATTTCTAGGAATTAACTCATTTGTTCATTCAACACATTTATTGCAAACTACTAAGTTATGATTGAGTCCTGGAAATGTAACAGTCATTAAGACATAAATGATTCTGGATGCCTGTATCATGTACTTAGCCTGTAACATGTACTATCGTCTCTGCACAGAAGTTCTATAATAGAAACCAAGAATACTAGCATTGGAGGGAGACTTGGGCATAGCAGTCTCAAAATGCTAGCCAGGTTGATGGAGGGATGGATGGGTAATAGGCCGACAAATAGATAAGATTATATATTGTTCACCCTACTAGACCATATGGATGCCTTAAGCTCAGTGACTAACATAAAAATCACTATATTACATGGTGGCAAAATAGAACTAGAAGGGAAGTACGGTGGAGGCACAGGAGGCAGTGATTTCATTCTGCTCAGGAGCCAAGGGTAAAGGTGCTTCACAAAGGATCATGAGCAGAACCTTGACATTCTAGCTGGAAAAAGAAAGTAGGCTGGGCATGGTAGCTCACGCCTGTAATCCCAGCACTTTGGGAGGCCGGCACGGGTGGATCACCTGAGGTTGGGATTGATGGAAAGGGAAAGAATGAGACTGCGAAAGAGCCCACGGGCGAGGAGCAAAGGGTACGAGAGAGGACAGAAGTAGAGCCAGTTCATGAAGAGATGTGACTGCTGGAGTAAAGCTGTCAGCTTTGATTTGATGAGTGTGTAAAAGCGCAGTAAGGTCTTTATATGTTTGATTCATTTGGCTCTTCCTTCCTTAACTTGAGCATTGATTTATTCAGCAGGTGCACATTAGATACCTAGAACATATCAGGCTCTCTGTTAGGGCTAGGGCAGTGGTTCTTGATCGGGGCGGTATCATCACCCAAGAGGTGTCTGGAGAGCAATGTCTGGAGATGTTCTTCAATGGTCATTATGCAGGTAGGTGGCTACTGGCATTTAGTGGGTGGAGGCCAGGAACGCTGCTAAATGTCCTACAATGCACCGAATAACACCCCCACAGCAAAGAATACTGCCATTTCCAGCTCCAAACATCAATATTGCTGCTGTTGAGACACCCTGGGCTGCATGGTACAGATATCTGAGGTGTAGTCCTTGCCCGCTCTGGGATTCCAAGAGCAGTTGAGACGGTAAACTAATAATTCCAGTCTACTAAGCTCCACAGTGGAAGCAGGCATCAGGCGCTATGGAAGAGCAGATGTGACTCACTTTGCTTTGGGCTGGAAGGTTTCCTGGAGGAAAGTTCCATTGGAGAGGAGTCTTGGAAGGTGAACCAGAGCTCGCCAGGTACAACAGGTGGGTGGAAAGAGCCAGTTCAAAAACGTAGCATATTTGGGGACCCGTGGGCAGTTTGGCGTAACTGAAATACAGGGTATGTGGTTGGATGGGTTGGGATGGAATAACAGGAGATGGGACTGGGAAGTCAGGCTGGGGTCTTATCCAGGAAGGTGCTAGAGGCCTGGTAACCCCACCTTCCAGCCCTACTGATAAGGTCAGTGTCCACAAAGATCATGAAAGGGAATGCAGGAGTGCTGGGTTCCTCGGTTCTGTTCACCGCATTCATGTCTCCTGTCCATAGATCTTACTGCCTCGCCCGGGCTCTGCTGAGCATGTGTCCTCTGAGTTTTTAGTAAAGGTAATAGCAAAATGAAACCATTGCTAATAATGTGCCCTAGAGATTGGAGCTGTCAGGTAATCATTCAGAATTTAAAAGCTCGTCTCCACATTCCTTCAGATGAAGAAAACGGTAGGATAAAAATATAGCACAGCTTATTAGTAACATCTCACCCATTTTTTCCCTAAATGGTTAGAACATGCTGCCTTTCCCTGCTCTTTACATCAGCGTTTCCGTTATTAAAGCTATTTTTCAGTTCTAAATCCTAGGAGAATTTTCCCCATGAATTTAACATGACCGAGGAAACTTGCTCCAGGGTAAAACTTTGCTGCAAATTATCTGAGATCGGCTTCTTAACAAAGAGACCGAAAATGAATCATAGCCTTTTAGCAGTTTCAAATGTGGTATTACCCTTTCTCCTTCACCCCCCCATCATGATTATTCATAATGGAAATGGGCCAGCTTTATAAATAATTACACACAACAAAAGTCCTTTGTGTTAAACACTGGAGGTTGCTGCTGATGTGGGCCAGGAGAGTGTGCGTGCAAGAGTTAGGGGACAGACAGAGAACCAGGCAAAGCTGCTGTGTCTAAGATTCGTACGTGAGGTACGACACCCCTACACCCAGACAGCACCTTCTGAAACGGCACGCAGGTTACTTGTTCAAGCCCAAGTCCCTACAAATGTATTATCATGACTTTCCTGGTCTGTAGATATTATATAGGCTCTTCCAAATGCAAGTGTAACTTACACAAATGAGCAATTATACTAGAAAAGGAAACTATTAAAGCAGCTTTACAAAACCTTCCCAGCACCCTCTCTTCTGCTCCCTCACCGGGGGACGAAGGGTAAGCCATACCCTTATCTGTGGGAGCCACGAGCCGCACCTCTATTTCAGTAACAGATGCTAGAGAGTGTTTCCCTCTTGACACCACCTCTATGTTTGAAAGCTATTTCTCCTTTAAAAAACTAATTTTTTTAAGGAGATGGAGTAGTCTTGCTATGGCGTCCAGGCTGGCCTCAAACTCCCAGACCTCAACCTCTCGAGTAGTTGCGACTACAGGAACATGCAATCTTTCTCCTTTTAAGAGGAAGCCATGCCTCCTCTCTCCCCTCTGGCATTTAACCTAAATTTACATGCAGTGCTTAAGGATCTTTGATGGAGTCCCTGAGCGGGTGGTTCTAAAGGCATGATGGGAATTGGTTCATTTCATTCTCACAACATGCCTATGAAGCAGAGATTCTTCTTGGCCTCATTTTACAGACGAGGACCTGAGGCACAGGGAGCTGGAGTGACTGGCTCAAGGTCACAGAGCTGGAAAAGGGAGAGGCAGGAATCACACGCAGGGCTCCGAGTGCCGCCCCCCACATACACACACGCCCGGCCACAGTACTGCTTCTGAGGGGCAGCCTTACACGTGGCCCAGGATGTCCCAAAAGTTTCACCTTACCGCAGACTGTCTGAAAAGACAAAATGCCCAGTGCACGTGTTCTGTTTTGGTTTTGCTTTGTTTTTAAGGAGTGTGACTAACCGCCCAGACCCTCTCCACCAGTGCCCTGGAGTTTGAGGACACAACCTTTGACTGCACCAATCCTCATTAGCGAGGGCTGTCAGGCTTCCCCCTTTTGGGCGGCCCAATCACAGCCCAGGAAGGCATTTTACAGCAGTGTGTGTGTGTGTATTAATTACCATGTGTTTTTATAGGGAAAACACCTTAAATAAACAGTGAGAAGGCAGACAGGTAAAACCAAATGGGATGACAGTTCTGGGATCTCCAGTGCTCTTTTGCGCTGATTGGAAGGACTGTAGGAAACAAGTGAAACACGTCAGTCCTGGCAAGCCTTTGCAGTTTCAGAGTTTCCATGTCGTTACTCATCTCTTTGCTGGCCCTTCCCCTCCCGGCTTCGAATTTCCACCACTAAGCCCTGGGGAGAGAACAAGAGCTGTGGGCCAGTCAGGCCTTAGCAGGGAGGCAGAGAATCCATGCACATCCTTCATCTGCACAGCAGACCCCCAAGGGCAGCTCCTGTTCCAGGCCCACACCCACTGGGAATCTGGCCAAAAGACCAGAGCCAAGTCCACAAAGCATTTCTGAGAAATGGATATTTCACTCAAGGCTTTGAGGAAACATTCTCATTATACAGGAGATGTGGCAAAAAAAATACCTAAAAACCCCCAATTAAGCATCTCTGTTCCTCCCTTCCAGACACAATAAACAGCAACAAAGGGAGGGGCAGGGGAATGAACGTAATGACTAAAGGAAGGACAAAATAGACGATGAGAAAGCACAAGGGAATGAAAATACTTTTCTGTGAATGCAGGTA